CCTCCAGCCCTACTCAGGAGTCCTGGTGTGGCACTGTGGGTTAATGCGCCAGACTGCAAAGCCGTTTGAACTGCAAGGTTGGCAGTTCAAACTCACCAGCTGCTCCTTGGAAACACTATACAGGGTCGCTATGGGTCGGAACCAACTCGGTGGCACAGCAACAGCAACCCCACTCAGGAGTCCTAGTGTGGCACTGTGGATAAGCACTGGACCACAAGGTTGGTTTGAACCACAAGATTGGCTACTCCTTGGAAACTATACAGAGTCACTATGAGTCAGAACTGACTGGTACTTAACAAACCCTACTCAGATAAGGCTTTCTGGTCCCACAAAGATTTACAGCCTCTGCAATCCATTGTTGTTGTTAAGGGCCATTGAGTCGTAGTGACCGACTCATGGCGACCCTAGGTAGGGTTTCTAAGGAGCAGCTGGTGACTTTGAACTACCTACCTTGCAGTTCAAACCAACCTTGATTTTAAGTGGAAACTCTAAATTTCGAGGAGATCTGTGCGCATGCATAGTAGAACCCTCCAAGGGTGGGGCTGGGCTGTCCACTAGCTCAGGCACCCCTATAGTCACCAGAATGGAGGTACACAGACTGCAAGGGACTAACGAACAGATACCAAAAGAAAAGAATGTCCACACCTTTATCTCCGCGGTTCTGTCAGGCGTCCATGGCTGCTCTGATCCTTTTCCTCCGCTTGGTCTCACTCAAGATGGCGGCTCCTGGAGCAGCTGAGCGTCTTCAATTAGAAAGCAATGGATTTCTTGCTTCTAGCTGTAAGCCTTCCAACCTTCTAAATATTCCTTTATATGTGGTTCCGAGTTCAGGGACCATCCCCTGAGCCTGCTTGGTCTTGTATTCTGTGTTGTTGCTGACAGAGCTCCTTACAGCACTTCCACCCGATCCGCCATCTTGTTTGTTCTCCCTAAAACCAACCTTGAGATGGAGCGCCTATCCTATGGCATCACACCAGGACTCCCATACAGGGTTGCTATTGGTTGGAAACTACTTGGTAGCCCTTAACAACAACCCTACTGAACTGCTCTGTTTTTCTTCTTGTATCATCTTGTTTCATCCTACAACTCCATGGAGTCTGACTCTCTGGAGGGTCAGAGAAGGAAACTAAGCCTCACAGAGTTGACTTAACTTACACAGAGGGCACAGCTTTGAGAACTGCAGCAGCAGATTCCAAACCAAGATGTCTGACGGCAGAAGCCTCCCTTCACCAGGAAGTCCTGCCCTATGCTGCCTCCTTGTGTCCTAATGACTATAAAACCCAAATAGCCTTCAGGTGAAGCAGCCACAAGCAGCAGAGGCCTCACCAGGATTGCTGTGGCCCCACCCACCCTGCACCAAGGTCAGGGTATCACCATGAGGGTTCAGGGGATGAGTTACTATAGAGCTATGATTCATCATCAGGACAGACCATGATTAATGTGATCCAGGCAGCCAGAAAAAACAGCCCCTTGGGAGCTGGATGCAGTCCAGGACACTTGACCCCAGGGAGGCGCTAGAGTCAGACCTGTTGGGAAGAAGCCAAGTAGATGAGCAAAAGTAAGGTGGCTTGGAGAGGCTGGCAGTCAACGAGGAAGAACAGAAGGTCCCAGGCCTCAACAACCTCCCACCCTACCCCACTTTCTGTGACATTCCTCAGGGCTCCATTTAGATGTGTCGTAAGGCCCTTCCTGAGTCCCCACCTTCTGCTAGGTTTCACAGTGCTTCACCTGGATCTCCTCAGTCCCCCAAGTCTGAACCAGCCCAGTGCATGCCTGTCTGTGCCTGGCTGCATATCTGTCTCCCTAACAAGACATGAAAGTTAGGCTGTCTGGCTTGGCTACCCACTACCCAGTCCCCAGGTCCCATCTGTGGGAGGAGCCAATGTGTGGATACTTGAGTGCACCAGTCCAACAGTGTTTTGGGTGAGGAAGGCCCTTGAGTGTCGGGTTGCGGTAGTGCAGCAGAGAGAACCTTCAGACTCTCCACTCCAGGCAGACAGGCAGTCCACCTTCCAGCTTGCTGGTCTTCGGGACACCTGGCCCCGTGGAAGGTCACTGCTGCTTCAGATGGCTGTGAACCAGGTACAGAGCACACTGTAATAAAACAAGCATGTGAGATTGATTGTCCAGTAAGTAAGCACAAGGAAGCCATGCTTACTTTGTTCTCTACCCCTGTCAGATTTGAAAAGAGGCTTTGATTCTGTAGGAAGGGTCTGTAAGGTAGCGACAGAGAGAGAGAAGCCAGCCAGACCTAGAAGCAGAATCTTTAATGTGGTAAAAAAAAAAAAAAAATGTGAGATGGCTCACTACAGATTAGTAAGTAAGCATAAATCAGCCCATGCTTACCTTAATTATTGGGTAATCCAACACTGGTTGTGAGCTTCTGGACACAGCTCAGCTCAGTCACACAAATGACAGGACCCCACAAACCGCTTCTCACAGGGTCTCAGGCTCCTGCTCACTACATCCTGAAATCCCCCTGAGTCCCTGGGCCCAGATAAAATTGGGCTTCTCAGAAGGATCAGGCTCAGGAGCCCCATGATCCTGCTGCTTTCCTGCCAGACAAAGGGCACATCATTGCCCACCCTCTGAGCCTCAGGGGCCTAACCCAGAAAAGAGGCACAGCTGTTGCCCTTGTGGTGTAGGGGTTTGGGGCTTAGGGAGTGTGTGCTTCTGGATCAGAGCATGATATGTCCTGGTCCTTGGTAAGAGAGTGCAGTAGTGACCCTACTGCCAGGGCTTCCCTGGGAATGTGTCCCCCTGTGGAGTCTGAAGGACTTTGTAGGAGCTGTGGAGTGATGCCTGTCCACTGTGACACAAACACCAACTGATAGCCCACACTGGGGCCTACGGATGCCTCACACCATCCTGTTTATAATTCCAAAGCACAGCCCAAGAGGAAAGAGGAGGAACCAGATACATTGTCTTAGAAGGGTTTCCAGACCAAGAACTCTGGGGCTGGCTCCTAAGCAGAGGAAGGGGGTTGGGGGGGGGCAAACTCCCCTGGTAGTGGGAAGGGAGGATGCTCCAGGCTGAGGAGTTGACCCTACCAAGGAAGATCACCCTCACCTCAGCCCCACAACCTGTAGAGTGCCAAGAGGAAAAGAACTTCATTCCCCGAAGGGATTAAGGCAGCTCACAGAACCTAGAGCTTGACAAGTTCAAAAAGAGAAATTTGTTGAAGGGGAGTCAGGACAAGAAAGGAAGATGAAGCCAGGGGTTCCATACTCTGGGTTTGAAGACTTGGTGTTCTGAAACTCAGAACCAGAGGTGGCTGCAATCTGGTTCTGAGCTTCCTAGTGGCCCCAGGAGAAGAGTAAAAGCTGACTAGATTCAGCCTAGCATTGGAGATGAAAACCCTCCCTCACTCAGCCTTCTGGCTGCCTCAGCTGTTCTCTGGAGTATGCGGCCCCTTCCCATGGTTCAGTTCTTCCTCCCACACCCTCTTCTGTGCTCCTCTAAGGCTACAGTGAGCCTGCTGGTCTGTGTGCATTTACAGTTCCTGGATCTCATGTGTTCTAGAACCTTCCCTCCTGAGGATAGAACTCCCCTACTCCCCCCCCCCATCTCAGCATCCTGGCAAGCAATGAGATTTAGAATATTTGTTAAAGAGACAAATAAATGGCACAGAGATTTAGAGATGTCTTTGTATTTCACTGGACCCTGGGCAGGGATGTGTTGGGGGATCCATTGTTGGGGAACAGCTGGGCAAACCCAGATTTAGTAACTCCAGGGACGGGGATGTCAGCTCTGGAAGTCTAATGGGAGAGCTACACAGCTTTGAGGAAGCTACAGGTGGAGAGAGAGGGGGGAAAGCTTAGCCTTAGCAGTGCCCTGGGTGGTACTGACTTCCAGATTTTAATTTGTTCACGCCCAGCCTTGTTTGGACAGGGATTTGGGGCTTAGCTACTGTGACCATGGATGCTGGGCTCAGCCTATGCAGCCCTTCCCTCAGCTCCATGACAGCCACTTGGAATCTTGCCATTGATTCCAGTGAATGGGAGGAAGGTGGGGTAGACTTTAAAGAAAGCTACATAGATTGGAGCCCTTGTGTGACACTGTGGACTAATGCATCAGACCACAAAGTCGTTTGAACTGCAAGGTCGGTGGTTCAAGCTCACCAGCTGGTCCTTGGAAACCCTCCCTATACAGGGTTGCTATGGGTCGACTCGACAGCACTTAACAACATAGTGGACGGGGCACCCATTGCCCTTCTTAGCTTGGAGATATCTCTCTCCGTCTTACACGGAGAAACCAGGTTGACATCACGTGGGCATTAGCTCAGTAAGTCTGGCCTGGGCACGGAGCGAACACCAGGACTGGACGGTGACTGGCCCAAGGTCACACAACTGGGCGTGTCCAGACTCCTGGCGGCCAGACCAGGTTTGTGGGGAGTCCGCAGGGGGAAACGGTGTTTGGAGGAACGGCCGCCGCTGTGGGCGGACAGCACCTCCTATTTTGGAGCAGGGAAGAGGATCGCGTGGCACCGAGGGGAAGGGAGCTGTCCCTGGGTTACCTGCCTCCCCCCTCGCCCCCGTCACCTTCCCGCGACCCTTCCCAGGAAGGCAGTCCCGGGGCGGGGGAGCAGATAGGAGGGGCGGACGGGCGGTTACCTCATCACCACCTCCCAGAGGCTCCGCGCCACCGGCTGCGGCGGAGACTAGGGAGACTTGGAGCGCCGGAGCGAGAAGAGGATAGAAGGACAAAGACGCCGAGAGGCAGCACAATCTGGCTCCTCTCCTTTGTGGAACCCGCGCCCCGAGGAAGTCGAACCCCGGCACCCGAGTCGCCGCCACCTCCTTCCTGCGCGCCGCGGGGTGGAGGCGGTGCCCGCTCAGCGTCGTTCGGCACTCTCCGGGCTTGGGCACCCGCCCGCCACCGTCGGCCCGCTCCGTGGTCAGCCTGCCCGTCTGCCGCCACCTCCGGAATCGACGAGGGGCGCGGCTGGGCCGGGGCGCACCGGCCCATGAGGCTGCCGGACGCGACAACGCGGGCCAGCCATGGGGGGCAGCCTGCGGGTGGCGGTGCTGGGCGCCCCGGGCGTGGGCAAAACGGCCATCATCCGCCAGTTCCTGTTCGGCGACTACCCTGAGCGCCACCGGCCCACTGATGGGCCACACCTCTACCGGCCTGCGGTGCTACTCGACGGCGCCGTCTACGACCTGAGCATCAGTGATGGAGACGGTGCTGGACCTGGTCCGAGCCCCAACGGCCCCGAGGTAGCGACTTGAGGGGAGAGCTAATTCGTGTGGCAGCCTGGGGGTGTGTACTAGTGTTGCAGGGGTTTCCTCACCCTTCCCCACCAGCCAGCCAAGAGGTGCCCAGGCCTGTGGCCCGGTGATGTTGCAGTGTTTTGTTTTTTCTCGCTTTGGGGGTGCCTCTGTCTTTACCCGGGTTTGCTGGTGGGTCTGGATCTGTGAGTGACAGAGCAGGGCAGCACTTCCGGAAAAGTGTGTTCCCAGCTCTGAGCAAGGCTGCAGTGGGAGGCATTGAGGCCAGACATACAGGTGTACTTCTGGGGGGAGGGAGTTCATTCTCACCTTGCTCCCTCATTCCTGTGACCTGAAACAAACACTAATTTAGTAATTTGTGCAAAGTCCATAACAGACCTCAAATCCTTGGTGCCAGATGACTTCCTGAGGTGAGGAGGGACTAACAAGCAACAGATTAGACAGGTCTTTGTGGAAACGGGGGTAGCATTTGGACCCAGCCAGAAAGCATAAGTGAAATTTTGGTTTTAAAAGGTGACAAGAGCATCATGTGTATGGGCAGGGAGGCCTAAACCATATGGCTGCTCACCTTCAGTGGGGTGGTGGGCCAGCAGGCACAGGGATGCAGCTGAGGACTTTGGAATTGGTATTGGAGGCAGTGGGAGCCAGTGAGGGCATCTAAGGGTGAGAGTGGCCTGAGTCAAGTTGAGTTTGTGAAAAGCTCAGCTGACAGCCTTCTGGTGGGAGGCGGCCAGAGACCTAGGGGAAAGGTAGGGCTGATGGCTGCCCTAGGCTCTAGGCATGGTTTGGAAATTTTTACCATGACAGTAGGGAATCAGAGAAGGGTGTGCATGGTGGAGGAACACATTTGGGGATGCGGTGATAGGGGCGGCCAAGGCCTAAGGAGAAACTCCTGTTCCCAGGAGCGGCCAGAGTCTAAAGGCTGGAGTTTGCAGGACACTGATGCCTTCGTACTCGTCTATGACATCTGCAGTCCCGACAGCTTCGACTATGTGAAGGCGCTGCGGCAGCGCATAGCTGAGAACAGGTGGGGTGTGCCTGTAAAAGTAGGGACTAGCAAACTTTTCCTATGGTGGGTGAGAAGGGGTCTCCTGCTGCTATGGACTGGGTCTTTGTTAGTGTTCTCTGGGGGTCTTCTCCAGTCATAGGGTCCCCAGGATTTTGTCTGATTCTTATCCTACTCCCAGACCCACAGGTGCACCCGAGGCTCCTATCCTGGTGGTAGGCAACAAGCGGGATCGGCAGCGTCTGCGCTTTGGACCTCGGCGCGCACTGGCTGCCTTGGTACGCAGGGACTGGCGCTGTGGCTACCTCGAGTGCTCCGCCAAGTACAACTGGCACGTGCTCCGTCTCTTCCGAGAGCTGTTGCGCTGCGCTTTAGTGCGAGCCCGCCCTGCACACCCAGCCCTGCGACTGCAGGGAGCACTGCACCCTGCACGCTGCACTCTCATGTGACCGACTTGTGCATCATGGCACACCTAGGGGGCTCAGATTGGATGACACTGTTCAACTTCTCTCCAATTGGATGGGGTGAATCTCCACCCTGCTTGGAAGAGGAAAATTCCAGTCTCCTGAGCTATAGGCCTTTCAAAGTAACTGAATTTTTCTGGGACCTCATTCAGACCGTCTGGATCCCACCAGATGGGAAGGACCTGGTTATGGCTCTACTGAAAGTTCCCAGATTGCCCTTGAGGCTTCAGTGAGCCAACTCTTTTCTTACACCCCTCACAGGGCAATAAAGGGCAAAGGGATTCAGGTAAACCTGACATTTCTGGAATGGGTAAATTTGGGGGTGGAGGTGGGAGGAGTGGCTGGAATTGAGCCACGAGGTCCAAATGGCAGGTCCAGTCTCCCAGCATATAATGAGGGCCCCCAAGATCGAGCACCTAAGAAGGAGACAGAAGTGTCTGCAGCAACTTTACTGTCAGAGATTGTGGGGAGGCTACAGGCCCCCAGGGCACGAACCCAGCCTGGCCTCCTCTAAGGCATTCAATAATATTAGTCATTAAATAGCAACGCTCACCCTCCACCTGGAATGTACAACAGCAGTCCCATTGTGCCATGTGGTCCCGAGAGGGCTGGTCCCATAAGGTCTGGTACCCAAGAGGCAGAAGGAGCTCCCTGATGCAGAGGGGTTAAGGCCACCAAGGAAAGGGAAAGGGAATGGGGCTTGGGGACAACTGGGCTAGTCCATCACATCCAGGAATCAGGCTCGGTCCTTGGGCTGACCGAGTGCAGGGCATGCCAGGCCCCAGGCTCTGTAGGTCCAGACAGGCGGCGGGGCCCCTGTGGCGTGGGAATGCGAGACGGCTTCCGGTCTGGCTGTGTGTCCATGCGGCCCCGGGCCCAGGTCCTCAAGGACTCAGAGCTAACAAGGGATGTCCCTGGTACACTGGGTGGCCCTACAAGAGCAGGGCAGGGGCTGCCCTCGTCAGAAGAACTAGATAAGGCTGGACCTAGGGGCCCAGGAAGCCCATTGGCTGTCCGGGCAGGGTCCCCAGGGGGGCCACACTTGCTACCCAAGACGCTGAGGGAAGAGGAGGAGGAACTGGAGGAACAGTAGGCTGAGTCGGGAGCTGGAGGATCTGGGGCTCGAGCAGGGTCAGGGTCAGGGCCAGGGGGGTTTCCACCAGTAGCAGCCTTGAGGGCACGGGCATTGGCCAGGAACTCCTCTTCCAGGCGCTGGAATAGCTGCTGCTCTTGCTGTGGGTCCAGCTGCAGAGGTGTGCGGAAGACGCTGGCAGGCGTTCCACCCAACTCCAGACCAGGGCTGGGAACCCGGGCTGGCCGGGGTGCTGCAGGGCTGCGGGCCCGGGGTGTCTGGGGGCTGCCCCTGCCTGAGTCACCGCCACCCCTGCCCCGGGACACCCATGAGTGCTGCCCTTCTTGGTCTCTGTGCACCAGCAGTACAGTGTGCTCCTCACGGCTCTGGCTCCGAGTACGGCGGGCAGGGCTGGGAGCCACTAATTGGGCCCCCCTGCCCCCAGAAGCCCCCCGGGGCTGACTCCTATCCAGCTGGTCTCGAGACTGGCTGCGAGGGGTTGGGGGCCTCCTTGGGGAAGCTGGGGGGCCTGTGGTCAGTCGTCGGCTGGGACGCTCCTTCCGAGGGCCAGTGCCTGGGTCATCACTGCGGGCACCAAGGGGACCACTCTGGGCTGAAGAGGCTGAAGAGTCACTGTCTCCTGAGTAACGGCGGGAGCGGGGGTGAGGGGGTAGCTGATCCCGGGGCCTGGGATAGGGAAACAAGAGAGGTGGGAGTATCAGAGCAGGAAGGGGTGTGAGCAGACCTGTGGTTGGCAGTCAGAGGACCTATGGCCAGAGGTATTGGTGGGAAGCTGTCAGGGGTATCTGTCTGCCCTGGGGACTTCCAGGGAGAAGTGAGACACCCCACAGCAGCTTCCTGTGGCCACTTGGGGCCCCACAGCCAGTGGAGGAAGCATGGCTCCTTGCCTCAGGCCTCCGGTCTCCCTTGGGCAGCCCAGGCCAGGAGGAAGTCAGGGTTGGACTGGCTGCCAGCCCGCCAAAGCCTGCCCCAGCTGTGTTGTTCGTTTGGTTGGGTTGTCATGGAGATGGGAAGCTGGGCCCCCACCCCCACCCACGGGAACTTTTCCCAGAGTGTGAGTCACTCTGGAGCGACAAGCTCAGAGTCTTATCATCAAAGCCAGCATAATGCTCACACCCCCACCTTCCAGACCCCTTACCCCCAACATCTTCCTGCTGCTCACCTGAGTGGGGTCTCAGGCCCCTCCTTAGAGCTTCGTAGACTAATGGGGGTCACCTCAGGCCGGGAGCCCCGACGATCACCCCCAGGGGCTGGGCTACTAGCTCGGGGACTGGGGGTGGGCGACCCCTTCTGGGGAGAGAAGGTCTGAGCCCTGGACTGGGGCAGGCGGTGGGCTACAGGGAGAGAGGATAGACAGGCAGACAGACGTGAGAGGCAGAGAAGTGCAGAGCCAACCCCCCTCCCCCACATCTGCCTGGACACTGACCAATGGAAGAACAGCGACATGGGTCATGCTTGTCCAGGTAGTGCTCCAGTGTGTCCCAGCCACCACCCACACGCACCATCACGTGGCTCCTCAGCACCTGCAGGACCCAGAGTGAGCCGATTATGGCCCTGTCCCCCTAGTCTGGCAGCCTCATGCTCCTGGCTGCCCCCATCTGGGGCAGCACCTGGACTCTTACCCGGACAAAGATGAGCAGACTGGAATCTCCCACTCGGTACTTTCCCTCTGAGACCTTTATCATGGGGAACTGGTCTGGGCAGGTGCATTGGCCTAGGATTTCCCTCACCTGAGACCAGAAAGCAGAGGTTGGAGGTCAGGGGTCAAAGCTCTCCTCCCCCAGCCCCAGAACATGAGGTCAGCTACTCCAGGGTCAGGAGGAAATGAGTTAGTTTGTAGGGAGAAGGGCAAAGAGACTGTTAGCCCATAGCACACATGCTGCACTTCACCTTTCACCAGCAGCCCTTTCTGATTCTTAGGGTTAAGAGCGGCTGTGGTCAGGCCCAATCTGGGCAGGGTCCCTGGGACCCTAAGCCTGGGGGAGCCATAGAGCCCTTCCTTACTCCTTCACCCAATTTTCAGTCAAGGAGGCTGAGGCACATGGAGCATGGGGGGCCCTGGCAGGGCATCAAGGTGGAGTGCCAAGGACACGTGGGCACACACACATCCCAACTTGCACGCACAGGCTCTGACGAGCCCAATGCTCGCGCCAGGCCTGGAGTTAGTTGCCAGGCTGGCTGTGTGGGCGGCCCACCCGCCTGCTTCCCCACCCGAGGTGGCGCCGGAGGAAATGAGCAGGTGGAGACTCAGCTGACCCAACCCAGGATGGGGGTGGGACACAACCTCTGCGCACCACCATCCGCCTACCCACCTCCAGAACGGGCACATCACAGCCCTGACCTCCTGATAAAACAGAAAGTATTGGCCTGGCCCGGGGAGGGGGGTGGGGTAGGGGGGTGGAGGGACACCTTACTCCTGAGAGAACAAGGAGGGAGCTAGGGACATGGGCCTCCTCCACTCAGAGTGGGGTTAATCTTGTTGCTCCAGAAAGAACTACCACTCCTACTGGCAGCAACTCAGGGCTGGCTTCCCTTGGAGGCTCACCAGGCACTTTCTGAGTACCTACTGTATGCCTGGCATCTTGCCCAGGCGTCCATGTCTCGTCTCAGTCAAGTGTCAGGCACCTACTCCATTGAGCACTGTGAGGGGGAGTGTGTCTGCCTAGCATCCGAATGCAGACCAAGTATACAATAGATGCTCAGATCCTGAGGCCTCCCTGGGAGAACTACTAATGCACAGAAATTAGGGAAGGGTCAGTGATCAAGTGAAAGTTCTGGCACAGCAGGGCTATGTGACCTCACGGAGCACCTCCCCGTCTCTGGACCCAGCCACCTCCTGGAGGCAACTATACACTTGTTACTCAACATGTACACCTGTACTGCCCTTTCCACAGACACCAGGGTGGCCCCAAGAGGGTCAGGGGTCAGTTGTAGGCACAAGCTCTAGTCTCTGTTGCCCCCAGTACACAGTCAGAACTCCGTAAGTGAGCATTTGCAGGTGTTACTGAGCTGTGCGCATGCACCTATGTAGGGACTCACCAGCTCATCAAGATTGCGTAGGTCACTGGGTGTCATGCGAGGCCCACGAGGGGGAACGCCAGTTGCAGCAGCAGCCTCAGCAGATTCCTCCCTGGAGTTCTCCCCGGTGGCAGGGGCATTGGGAGCTGGGGGTGTGGCACGAAGCTCACGCTCAATCTCTTGCTCAAACTGCACAAGACGGGGGGCAAGCAGGCCAAGGCGGGCCCCACGCCTTGCCACCTCCAGCAGGCACAGAACCACGCTCTTCTCATTCTTCCGAAGCACCAAGTCCTCGGTCTCGAACATGAGCACCTCAGGTACACCCAGCTCCGCGCGGCACCAGCCAATGAAAGTGGCCACATTGTCTCGGGCCATGAATGAGCCAGGTACCACACTGTGTGCCTGGAAGACCACACCTCGGGTCGGGCGGGCAGCAGCCAAGGCATGGGCAGCCTCAGTGACAGCATTGGCATGTTGGCACAGGGTCGTACCCGTGGCCAATCCTGCCAGGAAGCCATCACCACCACTAGGCAGCCCCAGGCTATACAAAGCATTGAGCCACTCTGCCAGGTCCTCCTTCATGGCCTCCACGTATGCCTCACTTGAACGGTACGGCCGCACGCTCTTGGCTGCCGAGCCAGCGATGCTAGCAACAGGGTCTGCCATGCCCGGGCCAGCCAAGTCACTGTGGGCAGGGACACAGGTCAGGATGACTGAGAAGATCCAGTGGTACTTACTACAGACTAAGCCGCTGACCACCTGTGCATGGGGTCAGGCTGAATGCCTGGGTTTTAGACTATGCCTCAGTTTCCTAATCTGTGAATAGGGACCTGTCTCATGGAACTCTATGGGATCATTATTATAAGCAACTAAATGGCCACAAAGTGTCCAGAACAAGCACTTTATTGGCTGTTTGGCTCTTTTTGAGGAGTCTGAAGGGTTAGCTGGGGCTTCCCTCCCACATAAGGAAATGCTCGCTGCCATTGCCCCCATTTTACAAGTGAAGAATTGAGTCCTATAGAGTCGAAACCCTAGCCGAATCCAAGTTTCAACACAGTCCCTCAGCCCCACTGATTAGATCCACAGCAAGCAAGAGGAGTTCAGGCCGCAACCTCCAGGAAGGGTTAATTTATTGCTCAGGGTTTAGGGGCTGGGACTATCCCAGCTCCTCTCTTAGACTCCCTCCTCCAAGGGCTGTGCCATTATAGCAGCGACAAAGTAACAGCGACAGGGGCCGAGCGCGCACACCAGGAGCTGCCCCGCGTCTTCCCTGCACTATCCACTCAAGTTTTGGTGGTATCTCCAAGTTGCAAATGAGGAAATTGAGGGCCAAGGAGAAGAAATGGGCCGTGGAACCTAGGAGCCCCGGGGGCACCTCGCTGGTGAACTCGGGGAGCCATCCCACAGTCAGTTGGACCGGGCCAGGCCCCGCCTCCTCCAAGAAGCCTTCCCAGTGCCCTGCCCAGGCGTGTGCGGGTCCCACATTCGGAATGGCCTCCACCCGGCCCCGCCTGTCCTCGGAGCCTTGGCCCAGAGAGGGTGCGGAGCCACCCAAGGTCACACAGCCCCGGGGAGCCCAGGCCGCTGCCGCCAGTACCCACCAAAATTAGTGCGCGCCGGACTGGAAGAACTAGGGGCTCCGCGCTCACCTGGCTCATCCCGCAGCACCGGGGGGCATCGCCCTGGCAGAGGCCGGGGCCGCCGCAGGGAGGCGCCGCCCGAGCCTCAGCAGATCCTGGCTCCGCCGCCAGCGCAGCCGCCGCCGCCGCGGCCTCCAAGCCCGCAGTCTCCGCCCCGCCTCCCTGGAATTCGGATCCGGCCCGGAGGGGGCGGGCGGGGCCACACGCTCTTAAAGGGGCCGCGTGGTTCCCGGACAGGCAGAGAGATATGGGGGAGGAGCTGGAATCTCCTGACGAGCCGCAGGCAGAGAACTAGGGGTCTCAGTGCGGAGACTACGCGGAGGGGGTCCAGCAGTCCCGGTCCTAGGCCACCCAGGATACTCTTCCCCCAGCCCCCGTACCCCGGAACGCGTGTCCTGACAAGCCCAGGCACTCGCTGTCGTCTGTCACCCTCTACTCTCCTTGGTCTACGGGGGAGGAGGATTGATTCTTCTTCATGACACCCCTTCCCCCAGCAGTGGCCTTCCCGGGCGGGCGGCACAGCCTGTTCCCAAAATGAACTCAGGAAGCGATAGGGGCCGGGGGCTGCAAAGTCACCTCCGGCCGGGGTGGACCTCCCCAGGTCAGATAACCGAGGCTGTCCCCGCCAATGACTGAGACCGTCCTCCCTGCAGTGCCGGCCAGCAGGGAGGGGGAGGACTGTTCGCAGTCACTGCCGCCCACTCCTTGCTCTGTGGACGCTCATTTTTAACCCTGAGGGCGGGGGACCCTTTTTATTGATGAGGACACTGAGGCTCAGAGGGGCAGACGGTGGCCAAGGTCAGTGTCTGATGCAGAGGCCCCGAGCACGTAGGGAGAGACTAGTCCGTGGCCACCAGGGCCTCCCCTGGGATTGGCCCAGGGGGACAGGGTTGGTTGTCAGGGTCTGCCAACGCAGCAGGGTTAAGCTCAGCTGCTTTCTTTACAAAGTTCAGAGTAGGGACCCAGAGGGAAATCCTGGCCCCTGCTGCCACAGGCTGGGCGGGGTTGCAGGCTGCCTGGGTGGGGCCAGTCTGGGGAAACTGCCAACAATGGTCAGCATGTAAGTTTAAAGCTCCCACTATGTGCTAGACTGGACCTTTCACGTGATGGGACTCATGGAGCCAGCTCTGAGGAACACAGAGCCATTTGGTGAAGCCTGAGCCCAAGCCACTGTGACTCTTATGGGAATATCCTCATTCAAGGATTAATAGCATTTACTGAGCACCTACTGTGTGCAGTTCAAACCAATCACTGTGGAAACCCTATACTGGGTCGATATAAGTCAGAACCAACTTGATGGCATGTGACAACTACACTGTGTGCCAGACCTACTGGTATCAAGTTGCTCACACCCAGCATTTTGTGGCGTCCCCAGGTTTTCCAAAGGGGCCCCATTCTCATCATAATACCCTGGACACAAGGGTGGGGTAAGTGCAGTTTCCCCACCCATCAGGACTGAAGAGGGAAGAGGCAGGTAGTAATGATGGATTCATGGCACCTACTGTGTGCTGAGTCTCTCAAGGTTCTGGAAACAGGTCTGAGGTCCTGGGACTGCAATTTTATTTTATTTTTTAATTTTAACCATTCAGGCATATATAATAACTTACACCTCCAAAGGACACATTCTGCAAGTCTGCTCCTGGCCACCAGCTCTTAGTCCTTCTCTTCTTAGACCATGAATCTAGAGTCCTCAGCCACTCCCCCTCTCCATGCCCCCATCTCTGCCTCCATCTCTGGCACTCCGGCTTCTCTGAATAAGGTCCCACATTCTGCTTTTGCGCTTCTCTTTTGATGGTCCTAGGGTCCTCTGTTTCTGGAATGTAAGATTAACCACTCCCCTTTTTTTGTTACAAAACTTCTACATTTATAATTGTGACAATTGCGATTAGTCATGATAACAATTATTCACTATTGAATCTTACGAATCTTATACCCATCTCTTTTCACCAGACCCATCCAGAAAAGATAACAGCTATTCAGTGGGGACTCTTTCTTTCCTCCCATACTCTTAAAGTCCCTCTCGAAACCTTGTAAGCCAGTCACTTAGTGCCTTTATTGCCCCCTTATTTTAGGTAGCCAATGTCTGAGTTGCCCATCCCTATCTACCCTGTGTACAGAGCAGATAGCATTGATACTTGATTTGAAGACTCTTTCCCTCTCTGTTGGTATTTAGAGTAACTACTGCTCAGGTTCATCATGAAGATGTATCTTCTGTCACTGTAGCTGTTCCAGTCTGCTTGTCCTTCCTAGTGGGAATGTCCCACCTCATAAGGTTCTGGATGGGACTCAGGATTCCACCTAAGGTCCTATACTCTGTAAAGGCTTTGCACAAGGCCTATTTCACTGGGCAAGTTGTAGAACCCCTTTGCGGTATTCCGATCAGTTATAGGCTGAATATGGGCTTACAAGTTTTCTCTGATCATGTTTCCCAACATTCCTTTCTATCCCACTCAAGTGTCTA